TCGCATAAATCGTTCTCTACGGATTTATTCTTATTTACTTGCTATAGCTATAATGTTGTTTCGGTTGTTTTTGTTTGAATATGCAAGCCTAATAATTTTACGTTGTTTCAAGTTTCGGGCATGTGTAGTTAGAATTTTTGTTTAAAATTTCTTATTTAAGACGCGTCTTATCCAAGACGCGTCTTACATAAGAATTTCGTACCTTTTATACGACAAACTCGCGTCTTATTTAAGTCGCGTCTTATGTAAGTCGCGTCTTATTTTGTCCCGTATAAATGGCCCTAATGAGCGCGTAAACATAATTGAATTGAATTTTATGAATGGAAGTTGCTGTGTGATGTTACTCTGAGTGTATATCCCCACCAGGCAGGCTTGAAAAATATGCCTGGCCACGGTGAGATTGTTTATGATAATCTCACATGAGAAAATTATCGCTTTTCAATTATCGCTTTTCTGTAAAAATTATCAGAAAAATACACGAGTGCTTGGAAATACCAGATTTATTTCCCGTGTTGAACATGATATCCCACCGTGGCCAGGCATATTTTTCAAGCCTGCCCGGTGTGGATATACACTCAGAGTAACATCACACATCTTGTTTCTTGCACTTCACTTGGTGGAATTAATATTAGAATGCTGGTTTTAGGGTTAGTAATCCAAGTGAGAATATATACACTTTAAGACCTGACCAGGAACGACTGCGAAAAATGCAGCACAAGGTCCTCTGGTAGGAATTGAACCCACGGCCCTGCGATTCCGGTGCAGCGCTCTAACCAACTGAGCTACAGAGGCCAGCTGTTGAGCTGTAACCGTAAGTTCATGTATATATAGGAGATTGGGTGTGCGGGTTGTGATAAGGTGGACTTCAATTATCTTGTTTCTTGCACTTCACTTGAACTTCAATGATCTTGTTTCTTGCACTTCACTCCAAGTGAAGTGCAAGAAACAAGATCATTGAAGTCCACCTTATCACAACCCGCACACCCAATCACCTATATATACATGAACTTACGGTTACAGCTCAACAGCTGGCCTCTGTAGCTCAGGGCCGTGGGTTCAATTCCTACCAGAGAACCTTGTGCTGCATTTTTCGCAGTCGTTCCTGGTCAGGTCTTAAAGTGTATATATACTCACTTGGATTACTAACCCTAAAACCAGCATTCTAATAACATCACACAGCATCTTATTCACCTGAGTACATTACCAACACAGCAAATATCATGAATGGAAAGTTATTTCAAAGTTTTAGGTATCGTTCAACAAATGAATATGATTATGTGCTGATTAATTTAACGCAACGCGTAAAACAGTAAAAACTCTTTGCTCTGTAGTCAGTTGAACCATTTGTAATCGAACTGCGTCAACTGACGGGACTAATATCTAAGTCGTTTTAACTTGAAATTAGAATTTTCATGTACAATTTATGGAGTTTTAACATGCTCGTACAATTACAATGCATTCGAACTCCCAGAGGTAATGAAGTTTGGGTGTTTACAACAAAGGGTAATTTCTAAAGGGTCACTTCTTTTTGAGACACTGTAGACTGACAAAGAGTGACAGTTTCATCTTCATATATGATTAATAACCAGATAGTATATTTAAATTATTCAAAGTTTCATTTATACAGGGTGTCTCAAAAAAACCCAAAATCATTGAAATAACGTATTGTTCGAATTTCAATGCCGTAACACAAAGGATTTTGACAGGGTGATTAATTTGTTTTAAAAAATTAAAATATCTTTGTAAAGTGAACATTTGTTTGCTCATGGGAATTTAAAAATGCTTCGTAAATTGTAATATGCGTAATATGCATTCGTGGGTTTAGTACTTTATGCCTGACATAACAAGTTTACTCTGAGTATTACCATTCATTATAGCAGTTATGTCAATCTTTTATGCACTCGTGGGATTAACTTAGTGCTAGGGCATTGAATATCGAACAATACGTCAATTTCAATGATTTTGGGTTTTTTTGAGACACCCTGTACTTGTCAATATTTTACGCATCATTACGTCCAGCTGTTTGGTAGGGCATTCAAATTTAACAATAAGTGATTTCAATAGTTTTCGTTTTTTTTGGGACACCCTGTATAGTAAAGCATATTTTATCAGCATATTTTGTGTTTGCAGTGTGCTAGGATTCCAATGTTGATCTGTGTCGGTAGTTTCATCAATTATACTATGCTGTTTTCAAAGTCTATCCGGTGATTATTTCTCCAAGTATGATTCGCTTTTTTGACCCACTCTTATACACTGTTCAACATTTCTTTTGTGTTCTGGTGTTGAATGTTCTGCCCATCTCACTACTGTAGCTGCACGACGCAATTGAAGTGATAAACCACATTGGTGCAATCTTCTGGGGAAGGTCTGTCTTTTGTCGAAGGAAACATTTGCTCCAATGTGCGTAGGGGTTTTGTCGTTGTCCGGATGTCGTATCGTTTTAGGAGACGTTTCAGTTTAGGATTCTACATTCTCGAAAAAAACTGTTTCACGAATTCTTCATGTCATGATATTTTTCCTGTCTTGTTACTCGTTTCCATTTAATTTCTTGTAGAAATTTCTTGGGGTATCCGTTTTGTATTAATGTGTTGGCTATCTGTTATCGTTCTTGTTGCATACCCTTCGTTTGTGTTAGGAAGCGTTGCTGCAATGCACTATATAAAGGAGTTTGTGCTTTGCTGACCTTGTGTTGTTTGTCGTGGCGTGAATTGTAGTCTATAAGTATCTGTGAGTATCTGTAAACATTGGCAGTGTTTGTAGGTTTTCGGTGAACGCAATAAAGGATCATTGTTTACCGAAAACCAACACAGACCACAACTCGCACGACAACAAACAACAGAAAGTCAGCATAACACAAACTCTTTTACATAGGGCAGCAACGCTTCCTAACACAAATGAAGGAATACAACAAGGACAAAAAGAAATAACTAACACATTAATACAAAATGGATACCCCAAGAAACTTTTGCAAGAAGTTGAGCGGAAACGAGTAACAAGACAGGAAAATGCCATGACCTGAAGAATGGACCATTTGCATTATAGACTAAATTTTGATCTAGACCAAAATTTCATCACAGCTTGAAAGAGCATCACAAAATTAGTAATATTCCAAAGTTTCGTTACGAAATGTTGTAAAATGCGGATAATATAGCTCTGCGAAGTTTGCAATTTTCAGTCATTTTAGATTACAAACGGGAAATTGATGCCCCAACACCCGATTGGGCTGTCGATTTCCCGTGCGCAATACAAAATGACTGAAAAACGGCAAACTTCGCAAGGCTATATTATCCGCATTTTACAACATTTCGCAACGAAACTTTGGAATATTACTAATTTTGTGATGCTCTTTCAAGCTGTGATGAAATTTTTGTCTAGATCAAAATTTAGTCTATAATGCAAATGTCCATTAGTGAAACGGTTTTTCGAGAATGTGGATACAAAACAGAACATGCTGTCGTCCTTACATCGAAGATTAACCGCAGAACGACTGAAACGTCTCCTAAAATAATACGACATCCGGACAACGACAAAACCCCTACGCACATTGGAGCAAATGTTGCCTTCGGCAAAAGACAGACCTTCCCCCCGAAGATTGAACCAATGTGGTTTATCGAGTCAATTGCGTAGATTGCTCGTGAAGTGAGCAGGAATGAGACAGGCAGAGCATTCAACACCAGAACACAGAAGAAATATTGAACAATATAAGAGTGGGTCAAACATAGGGCGAATCAGGCTTGGAGAGAAAATCATCGGATAGACTTTGAAAACAACATAGTAATTGATGAAGGCAACTATACCGACAGATCAAAATTGGAATCCTAGCACACTGCAAACACAAAAAATGCAGATCAATATCGCTTTTTACTAAAGAAACTTTGAATAATTTAAATATACTATCTGGTATTAGTCATATATGCAGGCGGAACTGTCACTGTTGTCTGTATATGTAATTGCATGTAAACCATTGTAATATCTCATTGTATCTTAGTATCTTACCCGTTTCAAAGATTGTAGCCTACTAAGCGTCCAAAAACATATTTGGGTTAGGACGTCCTGGTTAGAATAGCCAGACTATCGCCCGTATTCTAAAAGCTCACTCACACTCACACTCAATGAGTGGAGGTTCAATATGAGCTTCTCTTGAGTGTCTTGGTGCTGTTTTTGAATAGCTGGAGGGTTAGTGTCGTACCTTACTATGTGACTACTCACCCTCCAGCTATTTAAAAACAGTACTGACACTCAAGAAAAGTTCAGATTGAACCTCCACTCATTGAGTGTGAGTGAGCTTTAAGAATACGGGCGTATATGTTAGATGGATAAATATACAGGGTCCAGGAAATTCAACCGAGAACATTAAGTTAATAGGGTTATTTCTATAACCAGGATGTTTTTAGAGTGCATGCATTTTCTAATGAAATCAGTGCCACAGTTTTGAAGAAAAGCCTTCATTGAGGAGAAAAGCCTCAAAGTTAGCTTTGACTTGCGTTTTCACATCTGCATCACCCAATTTTAAATCGATTGAAAAAAAACGTCATAATGGTCTATGGATACTAGTATGATCTAATTAAATATTAACTAAATAAATGAATTATTAAGAGTTTTTTTATTGTGATTTATGTTTTTACATAAATCACAAAGTGCAGCATTGTGTCAGATTTAAATTGTTTTAGTTTATTAACACAGGGTGTATAAAAAAAACTGAACAGATTTGAAATTGCTCTCAATTTCGCAAAACAGCTATTAGTATCCAGTTTTATATATATATATAGCTTCTTTGGGTACTTATAATGTAGAATGAAAAAAATTTCTCGAAATCAAATTTTGTAAACCAGGGGGGGGGGTGTCTTTTCCAACAAACTAAAAATGGCTTGCGCACGAGATTTAAAAGCTTTAATCATATTTTTAGTTAATGGGTAAAAAATGTGTTGGCCGTGTTTAATTGCTGTACGAAATTTCAGACAATTCGTTTCAATTTAAGCCCTTTAACTATTCACGCAAACTTACATTTTTTCCTAAAAAAATCAGCCTTTTGCATGCTTAATTAATGCCTTTGCCTAACTTGCACATGTAGCAATAAAGGTAAAGGCATAATTAAGCATGCAAAAGGCTGATTTTTTAGGAAAAAATGAATAGTTAAAGGGGCTTAAACTAAAGCAAATTGTCTGAAATTTTGTACAGTAATGGACCAATCCCCAATTAACCAAAATTTTGAACTCAACAAGTCTAGACAAAATTTCATCACAGCATGAAAGAGCATCACAAAATTAGTAATATTTCAAAGTTTCGTTGCGAAATGTTGTAAAATGCGGATAATATAATTTCAAAGTTTCGTTGCGAAATGTTGTAAAATGCGGATAATATAGCCTTGCGAAGTTTGTAATTCTCACTAGTCATTTTGTATTACGCACGGAAGTGGTAACCATTTCCCGTTTGTATATAATCTAAAATGACTGAAAATTGCAAACTTCGCAAGGCTATATTATCCGCATTTTACAACATTTTAAAACGAAACTTTGGAATATTACTAATTTGGTGATGCTCTTTCATGCTGTGATGAAATTTTTGTCTAGACTTGTTGAGTTCAAAATTTTGGTTAACAAAATTTAAACTCAACAAATTTTCCATCCATTACTCAATTTGAGTTCGAGTATTTTTTTTTTCATTATTCTACATTATCGGTACTCAAGGAATCTATGGGCGCTTTCCATTTAATTGCCTGACCGGTCAAACCCGAATTCTTTTCTTTGTATCAATGAAAAGATCTGGTCTATGTTTTTCAAATATCTAGCAAAAATGGACCTCATTCTAATGTTATCTAAATTTTCTGGTCAGATATAAGTCCGAAGCCCAAATATTTTGTGTTCCATTCAAGAATTTGACCGTTCTGACCAGTCTGACCGTGTTAATGGAAGCGCCCTATATATAACAAAAACTTGATACCACAAGCTGTTGTACGAAATTGAGATCAATTTCAAATCTGTTCAGTTTTTTTTATACACCCTGTATACGTAAATTCGAGTAAATTACTAAATATAAAGTTATTATTAAAATATTTGTCAACAAAATTATCATAATAACAATATTATTAATATTAAACTTTTTAGAAGATAATTCATTGTTCTTAAGTTTGTAACTTACACTATAAAGTAATCTTTCGTGTTCAACAAATCGTTTCACGCCCTGATTAAAGTTAATAGATTTAATAAGTTTTAGTGTTTAATTAAGAATTTCACGGAATAAAAATATAAATGTTATCTGCAGAGTTTAACAAAAATTTCAGTGGTGGATTTAGGGGTTGCACAGGGGCATGCACCCCTGTTGGTCTTTGTCAACAGGAGTGTTAGAGGGGGTGCAAAAATTAATTGTTATTAGTCTTAGACTAATTTAAGTTTTAGAATTCAAGTAATATTAATAGTTAAGTTCAATGTTAATAATTAATTTAGTTTGATACTTTGATTGAATAAATCAAATTCTTAATTTTGCTGGAAACATCTAGTATTACAAGCATTTGATAATGATAATTAAAATAAAACTCAAATATTCAAATGTGAAAAAATTCCCATTTTACTTTCACACAATCACAGTATCAAGAGAATCTGGGATGTATATTTTATATAATTAATAAAATTTAATTATTAAATTTCAACATATCTGTAAATTGTAACCGAGAAACTAGGTGAACTTTCATGACAGTTTCATGACATATGAGTTTGAACTACGTATAGACTTCATGCGAATAAATTTATAGGTTTCCTATTTGTTGTTGCAAAAACTTAGGCAGGCCTTAAAATATCGGTCGGTCACGGACATTGTCCGACCCATTCGTGAAATTGTCCGACGTAGAAAGGAAACCACCGGACATTCTGTCCGACCAAAGTGAAACTGATGTTTATTGTTTGTCCGACCCGAGTGTATTGGTTACCGACCGATCGAACTGTAGCTTTGTCCGACGTAAATCAAAATGTACCCTAGCCCAGGACTAGAGGCTGGAAAATCGGAGTACTATTGTATAAAAGGTCAACTGGAAATGTTGTTTTAACATAGACGAACGCGGGGCGGCGAGCAAAATGGTGAAGTGGAAAACTGCTTAAGTTGTCGAAGTCTTTTTTAATACTGCTGTTCTGGAAAGCAAGTTAATTTTGGCTTGGAAATAAGTATGAAAGAAACAAATTATTTAATATCTTTACAACATTTACCGTTTATTCATTTGCATCATTCAGACTTATTTCCGAGTCAAAACTTTATATAGAACTTAAATGCCATGGACTGGGTTACATGAAAAATTGCTCAAAACTCTTTGCAAACTTCAGATAGAAAGACTAGGGTCGGTAATTGCTAGGTATAGGGTTGGGAAACCGAAAACCCAGGTATTTTTCTCTTGGCCTAGTACTGAAAAGTTGCTGCAACACATATATTTGATGTAACTATTACAGTTGCAATAATTTTGGCATAATTCCTGTAAATTGCTTTGCAACATCGATACCACCCCAGCTAGAGCCCCCAGTTGAGACAGTGCACATTTCATGAGCGAACTTTATTATCAAATTGCATGGCAATTATCACTCTCTCCCTGATGAGTAAAATCGTCTGGCATAAATAGACAGAGTAAAATAAGAAAGTAGGGGGCATCTGGGCGCATTGCCACTTAAATGGTTAACAGGGTGCATCAACAGATAGTCTGATTAAGGCAACACTCTCCCCCTGATGAGTAAAATCGTCTGGCATTAGACAGAGTAAAATAATGTGAGCACATCTGGGCGCATACCACTTAAAGGGTTAACAGGGCCGTGCATGAGCAGATAGTCTGATTAACCCATTGAATGGCAGCACACGCCCCCTGAAGAGTTAAATTGTCTGGCGTTTTAGAGAGAGTAAAATAATAAAGTGGGGCACATCTGCACCGGCACCATTGCCACGTAAATGTCTTAAATTAGGAAAGACACTTTTTATGAAGCTGCTGGCTAAACTATTAAGTTAAACTGGTCCAGGTGTTGATTCAAACTACACTCATGAATTCAAGAATCAAGTCATGCTCCACATACTAAAATGCATAAATTATATTATAACAATTATGTATAACTGATTTTGAGTTGAAGCTGAACCACTTTGGAAAAAAGCATGGCTCATGATAACTGTTTTCACAGACACATAGTAATAGTAATAATAAAAATACGAGTTAAGTTCGGCTACCATGAAAAGTATGTGCTATCTGTGAGCCCTTAACTGGGCCGTACGTATGGTCAGATAAGTAAGTGTCAATTTCATAACTAAGATGAAAATGGTTAGAAGGATTCAACATTTTATCTGTAACAATCAGGCTATTCCTATGGCTGTGGTGTTGCTATGTATTTGCATGTTGTTGAGCCAGTGGCAGTGGCAGACACTAGTCTGATACCATTTAATATCAAAATTCACAAGCATTGTTTAGGAACAATTAGTAGCAAGCATGCAATCACACCCATATAACATAATTGTCATATTAAATAATGCCCATTAACCCATCGAGTGGCAGCACTCTCCACTTGATGAGTAAAATCCTCTCAGGTGTTAGACAGAGTAAAATCACAGACTAAAGTAGAGCGCATCTGAGTACATTGCCTCTTAAAGGGTTAAATAAAACTTAAGTTAATTAAAGTTAAATAAATCTTAAGCAACATAGTTTATTAAATAAAACTTAAGCAATATAGCAAACAAATATGATTCTTTACGATGCATGCCAATGCCACATTAACATAAAATTTTACACAATCTGTTTTATTCAGTGTAGGATTCCTTACAGTTCTTCTGATAAAAAATTTAAACAATTATAATTGATAGTTATATAACGTACTATACATTAAACAACAACACCAATCGACATGATTAATTATCTTCAAAAGAGTATCTAATGTCAGTTTTAAAAATTAAATGATTTAAGATTTATTCCGCACATAACTTAAAGCTTTAAACAAACACTAAAATCCTTTTGGCATACATGTTGAAAATTTTGCCCCCCCCCCCCCCAATATTTTGTGAAGTGTCCACCACTGCCCAGTGGAGATTATATGTACACCAATTCCATTTCAACATCTACTATGTCTAAAAGTAAGATCTAGCTTCAACAGAAAATATTATCAACAACATGGCTTGACAAATGCATCTGCACAATGTAGTTATACACTTATAACATTAACAAATTATTATACACTTATAACATATAATAAATTATTTTTGGTGTTTTCAATTCCTAATTCTTTCAAAAAATATAATATACTGTAATATATATTCTGATATATCCAAGCTGCCTGCCCAAAAATGTAAAACATCTTAAATTTGACATGACTGTACATACAAAACCTTTAACCCTTTAACCCGTCTAACGCAATACAGACAATTTTACTTGTCAAGGGAAGAGTGCTGCCACTCAATGCATCAATCAGACTACTAGTATCTGCCCATGTTCTGTTAACCCTTTTACAGTAAAGTGGTTAAATAACTTCCTGTTATTGTTCAAAGTACAGGTCATGTACAGATGATATTGTATGATATTGTATGATATTGGACAACGGTCTGAAAAGTATAACCGTCTGAAACGTCTGACATATTTCACTAGTATAGACTAGAATAAAACAAAAAACATTTAGCAGGTCTAATTTGCTGACATAGACACTGGACGTCAAGTGGCGCATGTTCCTTTCATATTTCATCAGCAAAATTTTTCCCCAGAAAACTTAAGTGGTTCCGGAAAAACACGTTACTATATCAAAGTATATGGCTAAAAAATGTTTTGACAGCGTGAAAATATACACACTTTTATTGTTTACAACTGTCTTGTTCGATATATTTTATTGTACAACAGCTGGCATAGACTTAGTGTACTGGAAGAGTTGTATCTTCTTTTTTGTTTCAAATGAGATATGCCAGCACTTGGAGCGCGCGCACAGTAGGACAAAATTACAATAAAACCCAAGCAATTTTTGAAGAATGCTTTTGTTTGATGTAATAAAAGCATCTCACATAGTTCAAAAGCAATTTAAGTTATTAATTTTGAAACGACATTTTCGTCGGGCTATTTTGTGATATAATAAGTATACTGTACCTTCTAAATTAATGACAGCTGTACTGTTCTGACTCATAAATATTAGAGCGAACT